ATCCATCCATTGTGTCAAGTACATTTGTACATTTGTTGCCATCATCATTTTCAAAACATTTTCTTTCTACTTGAGCCCTTGGTATCAGCTCCTCATTCTTTTCATATACTGAGCCGCTGTGCTTGCTGTCACCTAGGGGGTTTTCAGAACAAATAGGAACAATCTCCCCCTCCCAATTTCTTTCATTTTATTGAGGGCCTCATACGGCTCTTATCAAAATACATAAAGACGTCCATTGTGTCAAGCACATTTATCCCAGTTTCTCTTTCATTTTGCACTTAGGCGCAAGAGAAGTAGATAACCTTTTTTAAAGGGTATAATGTTCAAGGTAGACGTTTCTTAACTAGTGAAGCTAAATTATTGTTGGGTTTTAAGATGCCTTCAAGGATATTTTTGGTTGAAGATAATCTCGGGCAGTAGTTTTAGGGGTTCACTCAGACTCTGGCTCTAGGAAGGCCAGCTTCAGGAGAATTGGAAACTCGGTTCTGTATTTTCCTCCTTTTAAATCAAGCTGCGTCTCTAGAGTGCCTGATCCAAATGTTTGCTTGTGTGTACTATTACTCTGAAAGGCACCTTGCTTATTGCCCTTCATTTAAAAGGTGGCCATGTTTCCAAAAGCATTGAGCAAAGCAAAGCTTGGAGATTTGGATTCCAGAAAAGCCGCAGTGCTTGGCCTCCTGGGAATTCTTTTACCTCTGACTCAACCACATGTGATCACAGGTGTCCCATCTCCACCCTCGGACCCCCGCCCCTCTCCCCACATAACAAGGACTCCACTTTTTCCAGTTCGCAAATTTTCATTCATCTTGCCCTTTACCCTGTATGAAATAGGGTGCGTGGCATTGGACTGTAATACCAAATTTCCCCAGCAGATGTCACCGTTAGGATCCGCGACAGTTGGAGTGTAATACCAAAATTCTACAGAAGATGTCACCATTGGACGTGTCTTACAAGATCAACCTATTACCATGCCTTACTCCCAAGTAGAGCTGTGGGTTTGGTAGTATTTTGGGGGAAGGATGCTGTTCATTCTTCATTCCAATTCTGTGAAACGCAGAGTTTTAAATTAATTAGAATAAAGGGCGTAGCCATTATTTCCTAAAGATGAAAAGGGATAGACACAGCTTTTTTTTTTTTTTTTAATCAGAAACCATGTTTAATCAGTTACTAAGTGTATGTTATGTTCTGTGAGGATCCTTGGTGGCGCAGTGGGTTGCCTGTTTAGCTGCTAACTGCAAGCTCATTAGGATGACACGGCTTTCTGTTCTCGTAAAGAGTTACAGTCTCAGAAACCCACAGGGGCAGTTCTACCCTTTACTAAAGGGTTGTCATCAGTCGGAATCAACTCAATGGAAGGGAACTTGTGTGTGTGTGTGTGTGTGTGTGTGTGTGTGTGTGTGTGCGCGCGCGCGCACAAGCATGTTTTGTGGGAGAAAGTTGAGGCTGCTAGCTCCAATAAAAACTTATATCATCAAAGACCGTAGGGCATATTTCTGTGCCTTTTAGGGTTGCTGTAAGTCACCGTTACCTTGATGGCAGCAGGGCTGCTGTAACTCATGTTGAATTTGCAAAACTGAACGCTTCGCCCTTTGTGCTCTTACAAAAATGGCACACTATAAAAAAATGAAAACACAAAACCCAAACCTGCCATCGAGTCAATTCCGACGCACAGTGCTCCATAGGACAGGCTAGACCTGTCCCCGTGGGTTGTGATGTGAAAATGTGTGATGGGAGCAGGTAGCCGCATCTTTCTCCTGTTGAGTGGCTGATAGGATTGAACCACTAACCTTGCAGTTAGCAATCCAATGGCACCCTATGGTGCATCAAAAAGTGAAGCGAATAAATGTCAAGAGTCTCACCAGCCCTCATTCACATTCAGGTAATTGCTGCCAGCCTTTGGTTTTGTTTTTAACTTGTGAACAACAAAAAGGGGCTTCATCGAAGACACAAGGTTCTCCTTGGTGTTTGTAATCACTGCTCGATGTGCGTATGTATACACTCCCTCTAAAAAATTCAAGCACCTACATAGGATTACATTATCTGAATACATTAAACTCATTTTAAAGGTTTCCTGTCAATGGGCATTTGGATTGCTTCCACTTTTTATTTTAAAAAAACCAAAACGATGCATTTGGTCCACATGCTCATAGGTGCCTTTGCATCCCAGTGAGCGTTTTTGTTTATTTACGTTTCACAGGGGCAGTTCCCTGCAGTGCAGTTGCGGTGTCCAGTGCACCCAGCCTTACGTTTCCCAAACAGGTTGTAGCGACCGGAGATCCTCACTAGCAAGAGGACTCAGAGGACTCAGGTCTGTGCTGTTGGGTAAAGAGGAGCTCAAAGCCCGGGAGTCTGTTCCGCTCCCGCCCCATTAGGACAGAGTAGAACAGCCCCCGTGGCTTCCCAAGGCTGTCAGTCTTGATGGGAGCAGACAGCCTCCTCTTTCTCCCATGCGCTCAAACGGCTGAGCCACCCAACTGGGAACTTCCCATGCCATCAGTAGGCAGGCATCAGCGGGGCTTTCTCCTCTGGGAATTGCCTCTTCCTGAGCTCTGGTTTCCTAGTGGGACCTGCTGTTGGAGCCCCCGGAGAGTCGGACTGTTCTTTACAGATCTTTTCTTGACATTTGGGGTTATGGCATGCTTTTATTTTGCCCGTTCTACCTAGAATGTGAAACTATTCTCCGACCATGTTTTTCCTCATAAACTGATGGCTTTATTTTTTGCATTTAGATTTTAATCCATCTGGAATTTCTTTTTGTGTATGCTGTGAGGTAGGGACGATAGTTTTACGTATTTCTTTCCTTTTTTTCCCTAAGTGGATAACTTAGTTGACTACACACCATTTATCAAGTAATTCATCTCTTCCTTACTGACTTGAAATACCATCTGGATCACATACTAAATCCATCGGTAGCTGGGTCTGTTTCTGGGCTCTCTTCTGTTCCTTAACCTTGACCTCACGGGTCTGGGGCTGTACCATTGGAAATGCTCTAGCCTTATGCCATGGTCGGTCTCTGTTGTGGCCAGTCCAAAGCCTCTTCCTTCCCCTGCTCCTTCGGCCCACTTTTCTATCTTGAATCCAGCCAAGTCACAGCTGTTGCCACCACCCCACCACCCCCGATGGTAGGTGTTGAGCATTGTATTTGGAAACTCCCACAAGGCTTTCTGCTGGATTCCGTGATGGCAGAAAACCAGGAACCTTCGGGGTGCACCTTCAATGACGGCTGCTCAGACCCGGGTTCCTGGACTGTGCCGACGATGGCTGGGGTCTGGGCTAGACGCAGAGGGACATGCTCTGGGGGTCGGGTATGGTACCCACCAGCCCTGCTGGCCATTTGCTTGACTCATGAGGATGGTACAGGGTCAGAACCAGGCACCTGGCATGCTAACAAACAACTTTCCTCTTGGGTCAGAGGTGGCCAAGACTGGAGATGGGGTGTGCCCCGTGTTTCAGACTCTCATAAAAACCTGCAAATCAAGCATAACCAATGAGGAATTTTCAATTTATACTAATCTCTAGCTGCGAGTTATAGAATCCTTCATTTCCAGAAACATGATTCTTCTAACTCATCTATCATTTAAAATAGACCATAATGTTGTAGACACTAAATAGATAACTGTTTAAAAATCTTCTAATTCCCATTTGATCACTTGAACTACGTGTGTATGTGTACGAATAGATACCAATTTTTTTTTCTTTCATTGTTTTACTAGAATGACCAGTCAACTGGGGACATAAAAGTAATTGGTGGAGATGACCTCTCAACTTTGACTGGAAAGGTACGTATCAGAAAAAGGATTCAAGAGAATACTTGGGCTCCTAAAGCATGGACAGCCAGCTCATTGGGGAGCCGGTGCAGTTACATAGTGTGATGCTATTCGCAGTGTACAAGGAAGCTTCCAGAAGTCCTTGGGAAGCCAAGACGGCAATGTTTTAATTCATTTCCCCCAAGAACTTTTTACCTAGGTCATCTTAGCCAAAAGTCAGTGGAATCCAACATTGAACTTCAAAGCCCAGGCTGTTTGTCTCCTGAGGATCTAATTTGAGATCCTTAAAGGCCAAGGGCTCCAGGAAAAAGAAAATGTTTTCAAAAGGATGATGGCAGCATGTGTACAAATATAGATGCATGTCATTCCTTAAAAGGTAGAGAAGCAGTTAAGGATTCAGATCCTAGCCCAGCACGTCTTACCAATGTGAACGATTTGTAGGGTGATGGCCCGACTTACCAGCAGGGCCCAGATTAGATTCCAGTGTTTCTGTCTCGAAATTCCCAGTACTCCTATCAAGCATGAGCACTGCCCCTGTGATCCAGTTACTGGTAGGCCTGTGACTTGGTGGGTGTGCTAGGATAGAGACATTGCCGAGAACCACACAGTCAGTTGGTGGGGAAGCGGTGTCTAATCCCTTAGTTGACTAATAGATCCAATTTTGCTAAAGAGCCCACTTTGCAAGGTCTTGTGAAAGGGGACAGATTGCTTGTGACGGAGTAGAGGCGAAGGGAGCTGGCTTCTGCATCACATGCGTCTTATCACCTCTGCCTTGTGAAGAAGGTACCCCGCCCCTATTCTGTAGAGTGACAGAGCGAGACCTTGAGCCCCCCCCCCCCCAAGTCTACACATGACGGGTCCCTCTGACTAGCCACACCGCCCTTTCTCATCAGGATATTAATGGGTTTGTCTCCTAATTCGAAATGGCCTGCAGCCTCAAAACACACTGGCACTGTGCCTTTTGACTGTCCCCACGTTCTGCATTTGTTTTATTTTCTCCTCCAGCACGAGCCCCGCCCCCCTTTTTTTTTTAAGTAAGAAGTCAGTTTTCCAGCTAAAACAACAGGCTCCTAGTGTAGGCTGCTGTGGTCTCTTGCCCGGCACTGTTTGACAAGACTTGCCGGGGAAAGTGCCAGCCAGGGTAAGACAGGGGGTATGGCTACCTTGGTTCCAGTTCTCTCTCTCTCTCTCTCTCTCTCTCTCTCTCTCTCTCTCTCTGTCAAACACAAACGAGCACGTGGATTTATTCTACACAAAACATGTTTAAACGTGTCTCCAGCCTCAGTGGGCGGCTGTAGACAAGTTCGTTCCGCAGCACGCTTGTTGCTTGTCTGTCTGGTTAGGGACCTTCACAAAAAGAGATCTATCTAGTCCAAACAGTGGCTTCGGAGGGCATCTGCTGGGCCAGCTCCATTTGAGGCAGAGAAGACAAGCTCGGAAGGTTATGTGGCCTGCAAGTTGGTTCTGACCCATAGCGACCTTCTCCACAACAGAACGAAACCCCGCCCGCTCCCGCACCATCCTCTGTGAGGCCCTTCCTCTCCTCATGTCACAATCAATTTGATTATCAGAAGATCACAGAGACTGGTTTGGGGGTGGGGTGGTGTCCAAAGGGGTCATCTGGGTAGATACACACAGCCATCACGAGTCCTGAAGGAAGTTTTCACAACATCCGAAACTATGTTAGTGAGAACAAGGCCAGTGAGTTTTTCCATGCCGCCCTGGGCAAATTTCCTTGGGAAACTTCCCCGCATCCATCTCGCAGCCCTGATCTTGCCCCTTCAGACTTGCTATTGTCCCTCACATGCGAAGAACATACACAAGAAACACAGCTTGAGTCTCTTGGAAGCCAAAGCTGCTGCTTTGGCGTGGGGTACATTGAACACAGAATTCTTGGGGGAAAGGTTAGAGAGCAGGAAACACTACCACTTCATATTTTTGTATTTTTGTTCAATAAAGGGTCCTGGAAATTCGATCTCCCCTCATCTATGAACTGTACTAGTATTATGTATATTGGAAAACACGTGCAAAAATATACAGTGAACACCACCCACCCCCCGCCATAAAAAAGGGAACAAAAATACTTCCACTGCCATCAAGCCAATTCTGACTTGCAACCCTATAAGGCAGGGTAGAACTGCCCCTGTGGATTTTTTTAGATTTTTACAGGAGTCCAAAGCCTCATCTTTCTGCTGCGGAACAGCTGCTGGTTTCGAACTGCTGACCTGTGGCTAACAGGACAATGCATAACCACTATGTTACCTGGGCTGCTTTTTTTTTACTCATAGTGACCCGATATCCAGTTTCTGAGACTGAATTTCTCTAGGAGCACACAGCCTCATCTGTCTCCCCAAAATTGGATGGGAGTTTTGAATTGCCCACCTTGGACAGTGAGCAGCCCAATGCGTATCCACGTATCCCACATGGCTATGGTCACCCAGGCTCTTTCAGAGCACACAAATTGACACTGTGAACCATGGTGAGGATTGCTGAGTCAGAACCAACTAACCACAGCCAAGCAGATCATCGGTTTTCCATTCGATAGTGCAGACACATTTTGGTTCAACTCCTGGAAGCCATCACCTCATTCACAATTTTTTAAAGATGTATGTTTTGTTGTTTTTTTAAATAAGTAAGATTAAACACTGCGTGGTATAGAAAATATTCTAAATTCCCTTCTTGCAATCCACTGGAGTTTGCATGCCCTGCCGCTGTGACCACTGTCTCAGGAGGAGAGAGAAGTGACAGTGCTAGGACAGAACTGTGTGTGCAATGCCACCTTCTTCCCGAAGGTGGCAGGAGTGAAAGGGCCCTGTTCTTGAGAGGAAACCCGGAGTTGCTCTTCCCAGCCATGACATCCTGAGAGAGAATTTAGGATCAGGATTTGCGGTCGGAGGGAGCTGTCTTGCCTGTGTTCATTTTAGTCTTTAAATGGACAGATTCAGAAAGGTTAGCTCACTTTGGGCTCCTGAGAAGGCCAGGATCCCTGGTGGTGCAGTGGTCAGGCACTGAGCTGCAGTCCGCATGGTCTGTAGTTTGGAACCACCAGCTGTTCCGAGGGAGAAAGACCCCGCTTTCTATTTCAGGAAACAGTTAGTCTCGGAAACCCACAGGGGGTCCCTACGAGTCAACTTTGACTCGATGGCAAGTTGGAGGCGGGTTTTATGGGGACAATTCACTGCGTGGGTCTGGAGTTACTATACGAGCAGAGACTAGACCTAGCAATGGAGACCTAGTGAGAATGCTCACAATTTTCTTCCAAGGTTTCCCCACCAGTGCAGGGTGTGCTGAAAGCCTCTTTCAAAATGCCCATGTGGGTCGAATTTTATTTTTGACAAATTCCACTGCTGTAAAACTTTCAGGATGAAAGAGTTCCAAATTCCAACAGATGGCCTGTTTGTTTGATAAGAGTCGCGGGTCTTAAAATAAGAATTTGCCTGACTCTTGAGGGTTTATGGTCTGATGTGACTTCTGTATAGAAACACTGACAGGCTCGCTGTACTAATTTCCGCTTCTTCTGTTCTTCCAGAATGTCCTGATTGTTGAGGTAAGTCCTGCATTTACTTGTTAACGTTCCAATGGCGGGCTTTGTGTGAGGCTGTTCTTATAAAGGAGTTGACACTAATGTAAACATGATTGTTTTCTGTCAGATTTTTTTTTTGTCCTTTATTTGCAAAGGCTTTCCCCCCTTGTCATTCGCCCTTTTCTTTTTGAGGTAAGATGTACTGAACATGACAATCAGCATTGTCATGTTGCATACCATTCTGTGCCTTTTAGCACATGCGCTCTGCTGCCTTCACTACCATCTGGTTCCAGAGTGGTCATCATGCCACTGGCAAACTCTCCAGACTCAAGAAGTAGTCTCCCAACACCCAAGGCCTTGGTGACCACCTACGGGCTTCCTGCCCTCATGGATCTGCCTATTATAGATATTTCACATAGGACTCTTAGTGACTTAGTGGTTAAGCCAGCTCAGTGGTTTGAAACCCATGGCTTCAAAGGCGAAAGATGAGGCTTTCTACTCCTATAAAGAGCAACGGCCTCAGAAATGCTTGCTCAGGGGTAGTTCTTCCCTGTCCTATAGGGTCACCATGAGTCAGTATCAAAGCGATGGCCGTGAGGTGAATGAGAGAGGTTTCATATGTAGACATACCCCAGATTCCTAGGAAGATCTGGTTTGAAGTGTGCAGATCTGTCAAATTCCATGCACATGGTCCTTATAGAAGCCTTTTTTTACATTGCTATAAAACTAGACTTTTAAGCTTTTTCAATGATTTAAAATGCTGTCTACATGGCAAGTCCAGACCCTTGGGATGAAGAATTGGTTGGTTTAATCATTTCAAATTGAGGACAAATTTACATAGCATTACATAGCATTAAAGGGTAAGTACAAGTTGTCCGGAATTGGCCGTAATAACCCGGGGAATGAATGAATCCCTGGGACATTCATAAACCAGGGATGTGCTGTACATGAAACGGTATAATGCTTGACCTTTTGTTCCTGGCGCCTTTCTCACTTAGCACAGTGTTTTCAGGGTTGGTCCACATGGCAGCTTGTATCCAAGCTCCACTTGGTTTGGTGGCCGGGCCTGGGGGGATGCGTTGTTTCGTGCACTCAACGGTCCATAGACATTTGGGTGGTTTCTGCCCTTTGGCTGTCACAGAGCATGTGGCTAGGAACATTCGTGCTCAGCCTTGTGTAGTTCCTTTGGGTATGCACCTAAGAGTGCAGTTAGTGTGTTTGATGGTACTTCTAGGTTTGTCTTTCTAAGGTGTTATAATGCGGCGGGGTTTATTTTATACACTTAAAATGTTATTCAGAGGAAAGGGCTAATAGGTTGGCTTTACCAGTCTACTAGGCATACTTTCATAGGTGTACACACACACACACACACACACACACACACACACACACGAATCTTTAAATTTTAATCTTATGTTTTTGCTTCCCGAAAGCCAAACAAGTTTGATAGTGCCTGCCTAGGTAAGCCCATTCCTGGGCTGGTTTTTCCAAGTTTGAACGGGGGTGACTTGGTACAGAGACATTACAGTGTCGGTACCTGGCTCCTCATCCATTACCTTGTTTGCTGAGCTTGCCTTCTAGATAGACCTGACACCAAACTTGTTCAGGGCTCTGGGTTCCACCAATGAGGAGCACAGGAGAAAAGACAGGCCATTTTTTGGGTCTGTTCAGCTGGCACATACCTGTTCCCCATGAGGTTCCTCTGGTACCCAAGCGTGATCCCAGGAGCTTTTGGGAATTGCCCCTTTTGGGGCCACGTGCGATGGAGCCTCGTGTTACCTCCTGAGGGAACTAGATGTAGGCTGCTTACAGAGGACCTCCATCCTCAGAGGCTAAAGGTGGGAGGGGCTGAGAGATGACAGGAGACTCCCCACTTTAGTGGGGACCCACCTGGCCCCTGGAATGGAATGTAAAAGTTGGCTTAGGAGGTTGATTTTGTGCCTCCACTGCCCAGGGTCACCGAGTTAGCAATGACTCCGTGTGAGTAGATTTGGTTTGGGCGGCCCAGGGTTTGGCGGGTGACTGATGGGATTAGCCATCCCTGCCACCAGCACTGTAATGTGTGAGGAGAAGGGAGCTGAGAGAAGAAAGAGTAAGCGGTGCCCTGTCCCAGCGTTGCAGGTTCAGGATGTTTCCAGGCTGGACAGGACTCGGACCTTGGTCCATTGAAATCAATAGATACATTGTTCGCCTGGAATTGGGGTTTTGAGGACACCCTCCATCGCCCTTTTATTTTCAGAGTTTTTATTACGCTTAAACTTATTTTCAAATTACAACACATAGTTTCCAAGCTGGGGGCTGTGGTCAGTCAGCCTGAGGCATGGCAGCCACCTATAGAAGGGCGCTGTACTCCCAGCAGCCCTGCCCCCGCCCCCCTGCTGCCTCACAGGTGACCCCAGACTGGCACGGCGTGCAGCAGCAGATACTTGCCTCTTGTCCCCTGTTCGCTGGGCCCTCTTTGTGGCAGAAGTCAGGGGGATGCTGCTGCTGGCACTGCAGCAGAGGGGCCCACGTTTCTGCTGGCCGGTCCCAGGGCACCTGTACAGGTCCAGCACATGGCCCTCTGTTGAGTCCTGCCACTACACACAGATTGGGTCCAGGTCCGTGAACCAAAACGAAACTCAAAATTCACTGCTCTGGGCCCCATTCGGACTCACGGGGCCCCTGTAGGACAAGACTGAACAGCCCTGGTGGGTTTCCAAGCTGTAACTTTATGGGCGTAGAAAGCCTCATCTTTCTCCCGCAGAGTGGCTGGTGCTGGCCAAAGGCATTTTCCACCTCAGAATCCTGCCCCACTGTGGTGGCTGCAGTGCCCATAGGCCCTGCTTTGGAGAAGGTGGCATTGTATGTTGAAAGGGTGCAGGGCTGTAGTGTAGGAAGCATTTCCCCAAGGAGAGAGTTTTTGTTTTGAAGAATGTCCTCCTTTCGACTCCTGTCGAGGGCTAGGGGTGCAGAGAATTAGCCTTCACTAGGGCTGCTGTCTGCAAGGCGGGTGAGCAACCCGCTGCCCTCCCTCCTTTCAACTCCTCAGGAGAGCACCAAAGACAGTCTGCTCCCCTGGCTCTTGGCTGTTCAGAATCCCTACCAGGTTGCTGGGCTGGGCGTCAGAATCAACTCAAGGGTAGTGGGCTTGTCTCCCCACGCCCACTAAATTTCACATAGCAAAGCCTTCCTCATTCGGCCTCAGTAGGGAGCCCTTGGTGAGTTGGGCTGCTCACTGCAAGGCCAGCAGTTATCCCGAAACCACTAGCCTCTCCATTGGAAAAAGATGTGGCTTTCTATTCCTGTAAAGAGTTACGGCGGTCTCAGAAAGCCACAGGGGCAGTTCTACCCTGTCATCCTAGAGGGTGGCTGTGGGTCCACATGGACTCCGGCAGTGAGTTTGGGTTTTGGAAGAGAGGGTTCTGTTGAAGGTGGTATCAAACTGTGCTTCTCAAGGTGTAGTCTGATGGTGTGGGGCGAAGCCCTATCTTGAGCTGACAGGACAAATTCGAGACTCTCTTCCCGAACAAAAGGCAGCTTGAAAAACTAGGTGGTGATGATGTAAATTTTCTGTAAGTGAAGTGGCATAAAGCAAACTTCTAAAAAGTGAGGGAAATAAAAAATAAATTAATAAACAGAGAGGGGAAGCCCGTACATGCTGTAAAGCTTCATGGTCATGCCATTTTGGAAGCCCAAAGCCCCGGTGGCATTGTGGGTTGGCAGGTCAAACCCAGCAGGTGCTCTGTGGAGGCCGGCTAAGCCTCTTTGCTCCCATAAAGATGTATAGTCTCTGAGACCCAAAGGGGCAGTTTTCCGTGCATGTGTACGCCGGCGTGCTTACGGTCCCACTGGCTGTCACAGCCAGCCTCCTGGTGTCTGTAGAACCCAGTGCTGGGCACCGGCGTGCTCACAGTTTGCTGAGGGCCACAGGGTGTACAGGCTCCCGGTCGCCTCTGGGTCTTTCTTGCGGTGACAAGACGGTGCCCTGCGCCATGGGGCGGTGGTGGGCTGGTGCAATGACCCCGACATGACAGCTGTCCTCTCTTTCAGGATATCATTGACACTGGCAAAACCATGCAAACCCTGCTCTCCCTGGTCAAGCAGCATAACCCAAAGATGGTCAAGGTGGCCAGGTAGGTGGGCCACTTCCTGCAGGGTCTTCCTCCTCATTTGCCGGAGGACAGAGTGATGCTTTCTTCTGAAGGGCAGATGTTCTCGACTTCCCGTTGTCAGGGACGTAGTGGGGCTCCACTAAGACTCGGTGAACGTTCCTCCTCACAAGGCTCCTCTTTGCAGTCATCTGGCCAGGAGCGCTCTGTAGCTAGCTGTTTGTGTCAGCTTGTCCTGGGGAGCATGGCAGAGGATTTCAGGTTGCTTTACGTCGGTGACAGAGTCCTGGGCTGTTCATTGAAAGGTCGGTGCTTCAAACCCACCAGCCTGCTGTGTGGGACAAAGACATGACTGCCCGCTTCCGTAAAGATGCACAACCTCTATAAGCCTCTGGGGGGCAGCTCTCCTCCGTCCCAAGTTAGAGCTGCCTCCCCCGGTGAGGTTGAAGTGGCGACTGTGACAGTTTATAGATAGACACTGAAGCACAGAGCTCAGGAGGCATCGCGGTGGGATCTGAGGAGCCATAAGACACTTGCCTTAGGGTTCATACTGGCACCACCCAACATTTTTGCATGGTAGGGTAAGGCGGCCAGTGGCAATAGAGGCGGACACATCTGACCTCCTATGGCTATTATTATTGCTGTGAGGTAGGGAACAGAGAAGCCTCCATCCTCTTTCCATTTTCTGACACCAACTGTCCTATGATGTGGAGAGGAGCCTTGGTAGTGTAGTGGTCACATGCTGGGCTGCTAACCGCATGGTTAATAGTTCGAGGCCACCAGCCCACTCTGAGGGAGAAAGGTGAGGCTTTCTACTCCTTGGAAGAGTTAGTCTGGAAGCCCACAGGAGCATTTCCACCCTGTCCTATAGGGTAACAGTGAGTTTGTTTTGTGGTTTTCTACACGGTTTTTGCTGGTTTTATGTTTTGTTTTGTTTGTATTGGAGCCCTGGTGACTTGTGGGTTACACTTTGGGCTGATAATTACAAGGTCAGCAGTTCAATCCAACCTCCACCCCTCCCAGCCCCAGCTGTCCTGTGGGCAAAAGGTGAGGTTGTTTGCTCCCAGAAAGAGTTACAGCGTGGGAAACCCACGGGGTCGCTATGAGTTAGCATGGTCTCAGTGGCCCCGAATGAGTTAAATCCAGAGCTACTGACTGATGGAATTGGAAGGTTGTGCAACCTCTCTACAAATCAATTGGCCAGTTTTTTTGTATAAAGTGATGCGCTCAGGTACCATCTGACCCAGCATTGGCGCTCTCGAGCCTTTGCCTCAGAGAAATGAAAACATATTGGCTATTAAAAGCACAGAAGCAAACCCCTGCCAGACATAGGAGCAGGGAGCGGAAGGGAAGCCTGGCGGCGGCGAAGGCCAGGGCCAAACCACCTGTGCACCTGTAAAAACTTGACTTGGAAATGGTTGTGTGTTAGATATATGAGGGACCTTCAAAGAGAGCCTGGGCAAATTCCATGTGTTTTCATTCCATTGTCCCACAACTTTTTAAAGCTCCCCAGGTCTTTACGGTGACTATCTCCCCCAGCCCACCACACCCCACTAAATAGGAAAAAAAGTTCCAAATGGCATTCAGTTCCTAGCTTTGGGGTTTAAGGGTCGTGGCTTCATGAGACACCTCTGGTTGCTGGCTTAGTAGCATGCTCCAAGTTCATTGAATCGAGCCTTGGAAACTTGTTAAGCAGCCATCCAAGGCCCACTACTTGGTCTGGATTCACCTGGAGCCGCCGAGGAAGGAGAGTCAGGAATAAAGGGAGATGAAACAGTAGGAGGAGAGGTATGTTATGTAAAGCTAAGTGCCTCCTTTGAACAACTGACTCCTTTGCAAGGAGACCAGGCACACTAGGCGGATGCTCACTACCACTGCTCCACACTGGGATCAAAGATTCCACAGAAGACTCCTGAGCAAAGCCGGGGAAATGCAGAACGGACTTCAAATTCCCATGGACGCGAGACTTTGTGGAGGCTGGATGGACCCCTGAATGATTGCCCTGCGAAAACGCTTACACGTTGCATTAAAAATATCCCTATCTTTAGGGGGACGTGAGGTTAAAGATGAAAATGAGTGCAGCACGCCGAGAATTTCATTGGTGTCCCTGGGCCGTCCGTGTCGAAATGGCTGGATTCCTTTTTATGTCTGCATTCCATGGCATGCCTGGAGCCTGTTGTCATTAGTTAATGGTATTTGGGTGGTGTTTGCCCTCTGGCGATCAGTGACATCTTTTCTGCAATGTTCCCGACTGAGTTCATGTGGAACAGGGCAGGGGACGGTTAGTGGTTTGGCTCTGGCACGTTTGGTATACAGGAAGCAATCCGTCCTTACATCTAATTTGTAGATAAGTCGGAACAAATTAAGGTGACCAGACGTCCCGCTTTTGGCAGGACAGTCCCGATCTTTAACAATTTGTCCGGGGTCCTGCGGCGTCTTGAAAAAGTTCCGGTTTTTTTTAAAAGAATGAACGTGCACAACAAGCTAGGGTTTTCGGCTGCCATGTAGCTATTTCGCCAGGATAGGTTTTATCAATGGTGTTCCGCTTTACTTAAACAATGTTAAAATCTGGTCACCTTAAACAAAGTGTGTATGTTTTTTACCTTTTGCAGGCTTGCGAAGCAGCTTCCTGGCTAGTGGAGGCGATTGTGGTGAAGAATCTGTCAAGTGTAGGGGTTCACGGGTTGCAAAGACAGGGCAAGTAGGAGTTGGCCTTGAATCTGAGTGGTTGGTAACCCTGGCATTTTTCTTTATAAATTGAGTCAAGTGTATCCTGTTGCCAGTGATTGTAAGGGAATCATCAGGGGCTTAATTAGATGATCCCATAGAGTCTGCGATATGGGCCGGTGGTTTGTAACTGCGGCTGCCAGATTTCAGAACCTGCCAACCTCACGACCGTCTTACCACCAGAGAGCTGGGAGCAGGCTGGGTATTCATTCCACTTTATGTCCTTTTTTGTAACCCCCTCCCCCGGGGGGGTGGGTGTTTCTGAGACTCAGTCTGGTGGATGCATGCTTCAAAGTACCTTCTACCATCCACCTCCCACCCTCTTTTGAGGAGAAAAAAAAATTGTATTTAGAATTAACCAGCTAAGGGGGTGTGTGTTTGAGTGTGCTGTTGTTATTATGGTGGTGGCGATTTGTTTTTGTTTTGGGGCTGATAATTCTCAGCAGGGATTTGAACTGAGTGGAGCCCATGGTGGTGCCATGGTGAAAGCACCCCTGTTAACTAAAAGCTTTCTGGGACAAGCCCATGCTGAGGGAGGAATTATGAGGGAAGTCTGCTCGCATGAAGATTTACAGTCTTGGAGAACTCACCAAAGCAGCTCTGCTCTGGCAGGAAACAGCCGAGGCCAGCGAGCTGGAATGCTACAGCTCAGGAGCCTTGGTTAAGTGCTCAGCTTTAATGGAAACATTAGTGGTTCGAGCCCACCATACACTCCATGAGAGAAAGGTACGGTAGTGTGCTTTCCATTCTATAGGAGTGGAATCGATGGGTCATAATGGTGAGTTTATGTTGAATTCTTTTTGGCAATGGCTCTCTGCCCAGAATCAATGCAAGCTTACGCAAACTCATTATCGACGAGTTGATGTCGACTCATTGTGACTCCCTCGGCCAGAGTAGAAGGCCTCCTGGGGGTGGCCCAGACTGCCAGTCTTTCTCCTTCTCAGCAACCGGTGGGTTCAAACCCCTGACCTTGCAACCAGTTAGCAGCACATTGAGTAATCCACTGTGTCCCCAGTACAGACGACAGCTCAGAACCCCTCAGAGGTAGCCCGGTGCTGAACTAACGGGTCATGGAGTTGGTGTTGACTCATGGGCCTGGGTGCCCTTCTGTGGAGGGTGTTCGTGGGGGGCGCCGCTCTTGACCCAAAGCACCTCAGCGCTCCAGTCCCTTGCCTGCCCGGGGGCGCATTTGAGCTGCCTGCCTGATGCTAAATGCAGAAGCAGCCATGTCTGCCAAGGACCTGTCTTCTCGTTGTCAATGCCCCGGAGCGTGTCTGTGTGTCACATGTCACTTTCTGTACTTCACAGCTTGCTGGTGAAACGGACTCCTCGAAGCGTTGGCTATAGACCAGACTGTAAGTGCACTCCTTGTTCACCGTTGAAACGTGTACCCTACATAGGTTCTGTGTGCAGTGGCTTTAGTTACTTGGGGCCCATTGGCATGGTAAGAGATGGCAGCGACAGGGATGCTGCCTGTGCCTAAAGGATGCTTTGTGCTTCCTTTCCAGTTGTTGGCTTTGAAATTCCAGACAAGTTTGTGGTGGGCTACGCCCTGGACTACAATGAATACTTCAGGGACTTGAATGTAAGTATCATTGCTGCTGCGCCTTCTTTAATTCAAAGTGTGCCCAGCCCATAGACAGCAAATCCCAACGAGAAGAATTAGCCCATCTTTGCAGACGCTCATCATGCAACCTGACCTGAGTGGTGGTTCTCAGGAACCCCCATGTTCTTAGGATGACAACTCGGCCAAGGTAGGGTGGCACTCCTTACTGGCTACAAGAGCCAAACAGCTCAAATAGAGAACGGCCCCACGGTAATGATGGCTGCGCCTCTTAAGGCAGAAATCAACGAACGAGCTTAAAGTTTCAAGGCACTTGCCTTCAGATACTCCCTGATTGTTGGGAGTTCCCAGTAAGCATCGGGACACTCGGGAACCCGATCGAGCACAGGTTCTCCACCTTCCTCATGCCTCGACCCTTTAGTACAGTTCCTCATGTTGTGACGACCCCTCCACCCCAACCATACAATTATTTTCATTGCTACTTCATCACTGTAACTCTGCTACTGTTATGAACGGGCAACACCTGTGAAAGAGCCGTTTGACCCCCCCAAAGGGTCATGACCCACAGGCTGAGAACTGCTGCGATTAGAGGGAGATAAGTGGGGGTGGTGGAGGAGGGCAGGGACTGATTCTTGTCAGAGAAGAGAAGATACTGTTCTTCATGCCGTACATTCCACACACCAGCTTGTCTAATGTGCCTTTTTGGATTGTTCTCTTGCAGCATGTCTGCGTCATCAGCGAAACTGGAAAAGCAAAATACAAAGCATAAACGGAGTTGAGCTGTACGCCCGAGCGCCGCCAGGTCGGGCGCGCCCCCTCCCCCAACCACCCCCAATGCAAAATGGTCACCGTTTCCAGTCCCAAGACCCCCTGCTTACTTAGTAGTGCTTCCCTGCATGCCCCTTCTCCGAGCGCCCTCGGGCCTGACCCTTAGAAGACACTTTATGGAGGTGATCGTTTCTCTTTGGGGTTGGCTTATTGTGTGACTTGGGAGAGTCTCCGAAACCATGCCACTACGGGAAGAAAACAAAATTGTCCCCGTCAGATACATTGAAGAGAGATCTATTCGTTTTTTTAATTGGTATTTTACTTTTTTAATTAAAGATAGCCCAGAAGTGATTGATTCATGGTCCTCAGACTACTGGGTCGTTGGGGGAGGTTAGAGACAGCCAGTTTGCGTATCGGTGACAGACCCTGAGCCGCTTGGTTGTGGCCAGGCTCCTTAGGGGCCCCGGTGACTTGTAGCAGTGTGTCAGCGGGAGTGACTGAGTTGTCCCACTTGTTCAGATTGTTTCCGGTGAGCCTTTGTCAACAGTTGCTTTTAAATAAATAAATACATTGACGAAGAAAAGACCTCTTGCCTAAAAATCCTTCCAACAAAAGGCTGACTGTAGTTTAAACATAAATGGTGTTCCTATAATTTCTCTACAAGTTTACCTCCTATTGTTTTTCTCCTGATGATTTCCCACCCCCACCCCTTGTCTCTTATGTTTTTACTAGTTATTTTACTTGTCCTCGTTACCACCAACCATAGTAAATGCTGATGGTCTGGTAGAGCTATCAGATTTCTTTCCTGGGGTAGGAGCCCTGGTAGCAGTAATGGTTATGCATTGGACTGAGATCCTAAAAGTCAGCGGTTCGAAACCACCAGACGCTGTGTGGAAGAAAGAAGGGGCATTCTTCTTCCATAACAAGTGACAGTCCCAGAAGCTCACAGGGGTAGTTCAGCCTTGCACTATAGGGTCACTATTCGCTGGCAGTGAACTTGGTGTGGGTTTTCAGAACCCCAGTGGTGTAAGGAGTTATGCCTCAGGCTGCTAGCCATTGGGCAGCAGTTCGAACCTCCTGGTGGCTCTACTTCCTGCTCCTGTAAAGATTCACAGCCTTGGAAACTCATAAGAGCACTTCTTGGTTTTATAGGGTCACCAGGAATTACAGTCAACTCCATGGCAGTAGGTCTCAGTAGGTTCGCTTTGGTTTTGAGTTTTCAGAGCCTTTCCATTTCAAACCCTGGGGATGTTGGATTACATTTTGCTCAGCCCATGTCTAGGTCCCCTGGTGACTAAGTGGCGAAGTGTTCCGCCATTAATCAACAGCTCTAACCCACCAGATGTGCCATGGTGCCCTTAGCAGGAACAGTTCTCTGTCTTGTAGGGGCAGTGGGTGGACGTCCCATAAAGATCACACTGTGGGAGCCCTCCGAGGGACAGTTCTGTGTCCTATAGGGGCAGTGGGTGGGCATGCTAACATGGTCTGGCCGCCTCTGGGCACAATCTAGGTCACAAGCTCCACTCCACCTATCTCAGCTGATGGCACTCTAAACTTTCCAGCAAGTCACTAAGCTCCCCTAAGTGGGTGTCAGCCTCTCGTCTTCTCAGAGCCCCTATCCAATCTGTCAGGAAATCCCAGGACACTTCCTGGAATGTAGACCCAGAATCTAGGTTTGTGTGACAGGAATCCTGTGGTTGACTGACAGACCTTCAGGTACATAGCTGAAATGACAATGCCATGGCTGTGCTGGTTGGTACCTGAAAGTTCATCACTCTGGGCTTTTTTGTCTGCTGGACATTTTCCATACCAGAGAAAAGAAAGACACTAGAATCAGTTCACTTTGCGCTTCTCCAGTAGGACTGCCTGTTCCTTGCCACCGTCACCTCCCAGACCACTGCTGGGCAGATCTGCGGTTTCTACCTTGTGTTCCTGTGACCTCAGCCACGTAGGCCCTGCACACCCCTTCTGCCTACCTTGCCTCATGATGGCCCACCTGGCCTGAGTTCATGACCCCACCCACTTCCTCTCTGACCTCATTCCTTAAACTAGTCAGAAAAACTGGTCTTACTGCCATCCCGGCAACTGGTTTCTTGAGGGTCTACCTGCCCCACCCGATTGAGACTGTAAACTGCTCCCCACAGCTGATGCTACTTGCCCTCCTTTTTTCCCCCCACTCACGTGTGTCACCAGTTAGGTCCAAGCACATACCACTTACCATTTTGGTAGGTTGAAATGGTTGGTTGGTAGCAGGCTTGAGTGGTGTGATCCAATGACATGCCACATCTCCCTTGTCTTTATTGCTCTCCCACCCTCTCTCGATGGTAAGCTCCCTGTGGAGGCAGACCTGGTGTCTTGCTCATTGATGGATCGCGGGTGCCATGATGGAGGCCTAGGGAACGAGAGTTGAAATAGCCATTGGTTGACTGGAGAGCAAAGAGCTCTGGCCCAGCGCTGGCTTAGACGGTCATGAACCTGGCTTGTCAGGTGTGTGCCATCGAGCATGAAAGGGAGTTCAACTGCTTTCTCACTGGTTCATGAGGATAATGCTGTTCATGGGCTTAATGTGAAAATGAGATACAGTAATTCGGTAGAACAGCAGGTTGGGCAGGCAGCACACTGTCAACAATTGTTGATGCGGGCAAGGGAGATGTTCTGAGGAGTTCAGCCCACAGTTAGTAACTGGGAGGGCTGAGATGGAAACCGGGATCTTTCTGATTCTTTTCCACAGTAAGACAAAGCTAATTCTCCCTCAGTTGATAAACTGAACGAGATACCTAGCTAAGAGCCGAGAATAAGAGACTTCTGAGAAGGACAATGAATTCTATGCGTGTGGGTATGTGGAAGATACCCGTAAATGATAAAACAATGAAGATGATCACATCTGAAATTGGAGGGGAAATGACACTTCGTTAGTGCAAACTCATGAACTATGTCAGTAATTGCTAGCTACTATTGAATCATTACTATATACAATGGAAGTGTGCGGGTAAGCACACTTGAGTGGGTGTGTTTTGGGTTATTTATTACCCTATTTTGGGCATGGTAGTTACACATTGGGCTGCTAACTCCAAGGTCAGGCGTTTGAAACCACCAGCCACTCAGGAGAAAGAGGAGACGTTCTATTCCTGTAAATAGTTATAGCCTTGTCACCCCGCAGGGCCAGGTTTGCCTCGGGGCTCCTCGGTACTGCCAGTTCAGCCATTTGGTTTAGTGTCCAGCAGGTTCCAGAGTCCTAACAGCGTTGGTTCCAATGGCAACCGTGTCATAATTGTTTGGGTGGACGCATGGATCTCTGGGGTTTCCTCTGCCATTTTATGCGATGTCACTCTCGGATCCTGCCCTCCGAGTTCGTTGCCCCATTCCCTTATAATGCCCGTCTCCGGGGTGGAAACGCGCCGGTGCCATAGCAGACAGGATTGAACCCGTGAAAGACGGTCATTGCGAATGCCCTGTCAACATCAGCTCTTTGAAGTCCGAGCTGATCTTGAAGAAGAACGTCAGCAGACCTCCTCGAGGAAAGCATCTCCCTGCTAGCGCCACAAGATGAATCGCAGCGTTTCTCTAATGGGGTCGTCCCATTTTTCTCCCGGCTCAATTTACAGGGCCATGAACAACTTCAGACAAAGTAACATTCTGGCAAGAAGGAATGTGTGTGCCCTTTGCCATTTTTCTTTTTTAACATTTTATTAGGGGCTCATACAACTGTTATCCCAATCCATACACACATCAATTGTGTAAAGCGCATTTGTACATCGTTTCTCAA